AGTGTACAGGGGTCGAGATGCCAAACCAGGAAGTGTTTTTGTGTCTGTCAAAATCCATTTGCATCCTACACATCCATACATCTTATCCAAATATGTTATTAATTAATGAAACATAACAGTATAATCTTTGGATTTACAAAGTTGTATGGGATTTCATAAGTGTAAAAGTTGCTTTTGAAGCATTTTCCTATAGCCATTTTGTAGGAAAAAAATGATGAAAAAAATGTCTAAGCCTTTAATTTGGAGTATGACCTGAATCGATTGCAAACTTTATATTTGCACATCTGATGTGATATACCATTTGTGTCATATTGTGAAATTATTTAATTTGCAATCGATTCAGGTCATAGTGTATTTTAGGTATTTTTGTGAAAATCAATAGAAACCAATGGCCTCCATTGGAATCTGATGATATCCACATGTTAAGTCAATTGAGCACATCCAATGGCAAGTCAATACACCCTTGCTGAACTTAATGACCTCAACCTCAGCCCATGTGGGTCCAAACGCTTAAATATTTTCCACAGTATTATTTGACATTGTATTCTTTATGTTACACCTAAAAATGATTCATTTTGTTCATGGGGAGATCATAATGGCGGGTGCACTAGATCCTTTAACAACATTGAAGATTGAAGATTGGTATTGCTTAATGTGTTTCATCAGACAGGTTTGACTGTATCTTGTATATTGTTGTCAAACCATTTGCAGAATTCAATAACAGGATCTTCCTTGTGTATTGTTTACTAAACCAAACTGTTTGCCCCTTCCCAACAATATTTGGGGAAAAAAATTGTGCTGCAATATCCGAAGGTTTATCATGTATTATGGGATGGGAAAAGATTGAAAGTTTTTTCTATTTTTGAAGTTCCTCCATGGATCTCATGATTGTGAATTATATTTTATATGTCACATATTTAATTGTCTTCCAATGATACATTGTCATGGGTTGTGTAGTTTAATATAAATGTAATGTACTTTGAATAATAAGGCTAACAATGTATAACATGAAAAAGTCAAACAATGTATTCCAAATGCTAGATAACTGTCACAAGAGATGGCTATATGTGTCAACACCATCTGTGAAATTCTAAGTTTTGTTTATTACATGTACTTGAAATTGTCTGTCCCATCAACTATCGCTACTCAGCTTGTTTATTTTTAAGAGTCCATAAAATAGGTCTAACAAATGAAAATAAAACAATTCTAAGTAGAAAATGAGGACATATTTGTTTGTTCAAACCAGGAACTGACAATTGTAAGCGAGATGGTATAGCTTGTCCAAAAATTGTGCAATTCTATACTCTACGTGTATATATATTTGTTATGATCCGTTTGTGCCAAAATGTATAACAGAAAATAAATGTCTTCCATATATCTAACAAACAAATGGTTTTGTCACATTTATAATAGCAGTACTTATTATTTTTAAATTTTTTTTTTTAATTATTTTTTCGAGTTTTAAAAAACACCATGAATTCAAAATGTCTCATCAAAATAATATGTTTTCCTTCAATTAAGGTCTCCAGCATTATAAAATTAAATGCCATGTTGAATTTATGGTGGGAAAATACTCATTGTCAAAGATACATACTGTACATGACTGTCCAAAATAATTTGCCAAAACCATGCCATGGAACATTAATTTAATGCAATTTAAATAGATCGTAGGTCTCATTAGATTCAGTAGGGCAGGTCCTTAGCCAGGGGGGAGGAGCTGAGGGAGCAGAACTTCAAAAATATTCTATTTCAACAGTATCTTGATATTCCCAGTGCAATGTTTGATTCCTGTGTCACGTGGTACTAACTTTGACCGTTAATTTGAATTTTTGACCTACCAAATCTTTGAAGATCAAGAATTGCGAGTCTCATACTGCACCGTTTTTCTTCAAACTTGTTCCATTCAAAGTTAAGCACAACAAAAATGCCTTTGTGTTGGTACATTATTCTGTTACAGAGTCCCTACTTTATGCGGCATTTTGGTCCCCAGCTGTGAGAAGGGCTTCTCACAGCTGGGGACCAAAATGCTGCTAAAACGAGGGACTTTTCATACATTGTTTACAAAAAGCAGCAAATGAGTCCCTGGCATTAACTTACAAAGAGAAGATAACAGTCTTTTGAAAGCCCATATAGAGGGCTTTGTATAAAAAACCTCCTACCCACGTACCCTCGTACCCACGTACGTGGGTCCTGACCCAGTCTTTAAAGAGTTAATTTTTTAAATGTTTAAAACATTATTCAATCTCAGTTTATCCTGAATTATAGATGAATTTATGCATCCATATGCCTTTATTTATATAGGTCTGACATCTCTCTAGTAAAATAAAATAAAGCCGGAATTGCATAATGTTCATTATTTTTGAGCTATTTGATTTATGTTTTTGATATGTCGAAATGTTTTTTGTCGATCGGGCAGTCTTACCTGTATAACACATCAGTGCTGATTAGAATATAGTCCGGAGTAGGGATACTAGCGGTTACTTGGTTTCTGTATAAAAAAGCTTTTTCTCCTTTTCTGTCCCGTCGCAGCGCCATCTAGTGTTTGATAAATGAATCTAGGTTTATTCTCGATAGGGTAAGTACTAATCTATCAGGAAACATTTACAAGTTTGGTTAGAAACAGAATTTTTATAGATGGCGGAGTGATTTTTGAGACTATGTAGAGCAGAATAATTTTCTGAAACAGGTAGCTTTACGGTGGTAGCTCTCTCCAGATTCAGTTATCTCAAAAACGGTGTGGTCACCGTATGCTTATTTTGTAACGGCAAGCTAGATAAGACTCCAATGAACACTGGGCACTGTTTCGCTGAGCTAGATCTGTGCCCATGAATATATTATGAAATGAAACGTTATAGTGGTCGTCAATGGGATTTTTTACTGCAATCTTGACCCTTAGCAATCTTCTAGCCTTCGTTCAGTGCAATCCGTGCCTCCTGTTACCTCATGCAGATTGTAAATGTCCCGGGAAGTTTACCCTTGTCCAAAAGTTGACATCTTTTTAAAAATATATTTCTTAGAGTTTCCAACCAATTAAATTCACCACATTTTATTAGATGTTTAAAATGTTATTAGAATTCATTCTTACGAATATTATACGTTATTAACGTATGTTAGTCAAAGATTTGGTGTCGTTGTTGTCCATTGTATTCACGTTTTACGCGCAAAAAGCTAGAAACTACAAAGCTGAACTTTTATCATTCAAACCAGTTTTACATCAAATCATTGTCAAAATAAAACTCTACTCTTCATATTACCTAATTATGGATCAAACGGCAATGAATAATGTCGAAGTTTACAAAACCCAGGCCTGTCAACTGTCCCGCAATTTGCGTATTTGTCACGCATTTGCTGAAGAATTTGAAGTCACGCCAGTTTTTTTTGCGTGACACAAAATGTCACGCAAATACGCATTTTACCTGGTAATGGTCACGCAAATATGTTTCTGTAAAAAAATTTTCAAAATATGTTTATGATACGGTAAAAATACGAACGTCGGAAAAAAACGAACGCAATTTGTTCGGATTTGTCACGCGAATCCCGTATATGTCACGCATGTTCATTGGAAATTTTCGTACCTACCCCAATATCTCCAATTCTGATGTTAAATTAAATAAAAGACATAAGACAAATTACACGTATAGTTCAAATCTGTCGTGCAAACAATGAATACTTGTAATATCGTTTGAAAGAATAAAAAGTATATGTGATACAAATCGAAACTACAGGGTGTTAAAAAACAGGACCGCGATGAAAAGTTGAATAACTTCGTCAATCCAGAATCATTCAGGTCATTCAATGTGAATTTTGTTGTGAAAGTTTGACCATATTCTGCTCATGGAGTCAAAAACTACAGCACTTTACAACACATGCCCCATGTGGCCAATTTGCGCCAAGCAATGGCAGGGCTGTCAACTTGGGACCACCTAATATGAGTGACTTACAAATGTTGGACACCGAAGTCCAAATCTGAACACTTTTGTCCAAATTTTGAACACCTTTGGCCAACTTTTAAACACCTTTGGCCAAAGTTTGAGCACCTTTGCTAAGCTTTTATCACCTCAAATTTTTCGCGCTCGCTACGCTCGCGCTGTCGTCAATGGGGGGGGGGGGGGGGGGGGGATAGGTACGAAAATTCCCAATGAACATGCGTGACATATACGGGATTCGCGTGACAAATCCGAACAAATTGCGTTCGTTTTTTTCCGACGTTCGTATTTCGTATATGACATTTTGTGTCACGCAAAAAAAACTGGCGTGACTTCAAATTCTTCAGCAAATGCGTGACAAATACGCAAATTGCGGGACAGTTGACAGGCCTGCAATGGTTGTACACTGTAAGACTGCCCGATCAACAAAAAATCGCTTCGATATAAAAACAACACTCAAATAGCTCAAATGAACATTATGCAATGCCGGCTTTATTTTATGACGAGACAGATGTCCGATCTAGAAATAAAGGCATATGGGTACATAAATTCATCCATAATTAAGCATACATTGAGATAGAATAATGTTTAAAAAATGTTAAAGATTTAACTCTTTAAAGACTGGGTCAGGACCCACGTACGTGGGTACGAGGGTACGTGGGTAGGAGGTTTTTTATACAAAGCCCATATAGAGGACATTTTTTAGATTTTGAAATTAGTTTACATGAATCAGGGACTTTTTTTAAGGCCTTTTAGTTTCACATACATTTGCCTAATTCAATTGAGACTGATATTCATTTCCATCATGTGGGTAATCAACATAGTAATTTGAGTAGTGGAGGAGGTCTGGAAGTAGGTTACATGGTACATTCCAGAAAAGTAATTGTGCATGATGATTAATAGGACAAAAGTATTTGTTTACTAAGTCTTGTTGTTTATATGATCAATTTCTAATGGTCAATCAACATTCTCCGAATGATTAATTTCGTCTACCATGATTTTAGCTGTATATTGGAAGAACGATGCATTTGGAGAATTGACATCCCACGTGTATTTGTTTACATCCGGGTTCGTGGATCATGCGCAATGAAGGCCTAGCAAACCAGGATAAATTGAACGAATATGCTTCTAAATCCTGTCGAAATACACCATATTTTATCAGTTTAAATGCAGTCATATAATGGGAGATGGTTTACCAACATATGCACTGCATTTTGATCCAACAAAATACGAGATACTTGTAGATCAAATCGAAAATATCGAAAGGGTGTTCAAAGTTCGTATTGAATTATGCAAACAGTTTTCAGAGGATCAAAGATGGATTTCATTTTCGCTAAAAATCACAGACACTGTGCGCTATGGTCTAATAGACAAGGCGAAAGTAAGTAACACTATATTTCATTGAATAATTGAGATTTTCAAAGTGTATGAATACGTACAACTTAGCCAAAATTGCCAATAAATATTGCCAAAAAGTTGTGAAAATTCTTACTTCCGGCTTATAAGTTAATTGACCTTCATTTAAGATTGCCCTAGATTTTTCTGGACAAAGCCTAATAAGGAGTTCAAACCAGTTATCAGATTCATGAAATTGTTACATCACAATGATTAACTCTTGGTGAATAAAGGTGATTGGACACGTTTATAATAGTACAGCTATTGACCTTCAATATTAGTCATATAAATCTGACCCTCGTATGATGTTATTTGTTGTTATTTTTTCTGATTTGGATATTTATTTTTCTTATTTTCTTGCATACTAGGGTCATACACACTCCGCGCTTCTAAATTGCGGGAAATGCTTTCCTGGCCTGTCTACCCAACCAAATTCACACAAATGATAAATAAATTTCTTTGCTTCAACTATAAAGTATTTAATCTTACCTTAGACACGTAAAACACTTGGTAATTGAAGAAATATAAGCATGCCGCTTGAATTTAAAATTTTTTTCATTTTGCCATGCCAAGGTCACTTCCGGGTTAATCTGAGTCTAGATGTAAAACTATATCAAACGAAATCATAAGTACTTGTTACATGAAGATTCAGTTGAAAGGGAAGCAGTGTCGTTAAGAAGGGAAGTTATTTGGAAAAGTTATTGTTTCAAAATGAGAAAAGTAATAAGTATGAGAGAACGGCTTTGGAATCGATCTCTGTGTAATAAATAATTATGATTCCGTTTCGATACATGTTTACATTTAGACTACCGGAAACAACATTCAGCAACATGGCGGGCGATAATGAAAATATAATTCAATTGATTATATTTCGTCAATTATCAAGCGTTTTACATGTCTAAGGTAAGATTTAACACTTTGATGTTGGAGCTAAATAATTACTCGATAATTTGTGTGACTTTGGTTAGTATGGTAACTATGGTTACCAAGACAGGCCAGAAAAGCGTTTACCGCAATTTGTCAGCAATAATATCTACGACCGTATATGCTAAGAAAATGATAAAAAATGAATATCCAAATAGGAACAAGGAATATCGAAGAACAGCATACAACGGTCGGATTTATATGACTATTCAATATCCACCTGATTCATTTGCACTCCATGGCCATGCCCAGTCTTTGTTGAATTCAGTCTGCTCATGATTCAACTTTCAAAACACAGTTGTAAATTTCTGATTCTAAATGCTGATTTGTCCAATTATTTCTTGTGATGATGAAACACAAAAATATCAAAGTCATTCACAACTAAATTCCTTTGATATAAAAGTGTAGTATAGATTCTAGTTACTAGAGGTAAGAATTTCAGAGAAATTTTCATTGCAATTAACATCTACACTGTCTATTATGGATGGATACTGATTTAATTGCTTTTTGTAATTTTGGTAAACTTTCACATATAGACATGTATGTATACACTATTAGACTATATCTAGAAGTGACCAGATATTATGATGGTAGAATATGTAGGGGTATTCTTGGACTGGGGCATTTCTCAGACAATCTTCAAAAATTCTTTGTTTTATATGATTTTTTAATTGAAAGGAAACATCAAATTAGACACATTGTTTTATCGTTACAGTGATATATATTGTAAAGCCAAGAATGCCCCTATGTACTCTACACGTAGGTACACTATTATGTTATCCCGTTCCAGGACTATAGTCCTGTACGGAGCCAATACATTTGCCTGTACGATTACAACTTGGGAGAATTATCTACGCCCCTTCCACTTAAGAAACCTACCTCAATGCATTCTAGAACTCAAAATGTAACTTCTAATATATTGGAACCGCCGATTGTCTGGGTTAGTTGGCAGAACGAGGTCTTTTTGTTTCTTATGGCTCTTTTGGTCGAAGTTCGATTAAGATGGCGGTTATAACGGAATTTCCCGAACTCTTCCGTAATAGCACGAACTTGTTTTTTCGTTACGTCACTTCCGTGTAAAATGGATTTGTTTCGGGTAAGAGGGAATTTCGAAAATTTCGGACAATATTTTCAATATTTACTGCCATGTCGACATCCTATGCTCTTAACTGTATACCGAATGGTTAAACAATGTTTCTTACCGGAAACAAATCCATTTTACATGGAAGTGAAGTAACGAAAAACCAAGTTCGTGCTATTACGGAAGAGTTCGGGAAATTCCGTTATAACCGCCATCTTAATCGAACTTCGACCAAAAGAGCCATAAGAAACAAAAAGACCTCGTTCTGCCAACTAACCCAGACAATCGGCGGTTCCAATATATTAGAAGTTACATTTTGAGTTCTAGAATGCATTGAGGTAGGTTTCTTAAGTGGAAGGGGCGTAGATAATTCTCCCAAGTTGTAATCGTACAGGCAAATGTATGGGCTCCGTACAGGACTATAGTCCGGGAACAGGATAAACTATTATGGAGCATACTGCAATTGCCATTTTTATGGAACATACTGCATTGCCACTTTTATGGAACACTTACGTTATCAGGTTTCTTTGCACTGTCTTTTCTAAAACAAACCTGTACCATCTTTTTATTTACTGTATATAATTGTGAAACAAAAAATAAAAATTAAGGGTAAGTTGGATGATTAAAGAATTCATATATTTTTAACATTATTTGTAAAATAAGTTGGAGGTTTTTGTATAAAATGGTAATTAAATGATATGAATTATTAATTTGTTCAGAGAACTTTACATTCTGGGTTTTATAAGCAACATTCAATTTTCTCTGATTCTGATTGTCTTAATTTTACCATACTCCTGTTGTTTTTAGGGGATTTCCAACTGTTTCTGGGGCTTTCTGTAACCTTAAAATTACAAGTTCAATAATTTTGACCAGTTCTAGCCAGATGAAGCAAGATAATGACTCATTAATTGGTAGTTCCATCCTTTCAATGCATCTATGGTAATTTAAAAATTATTCAAATGACCAGTTGATATTTAAATTTTATGAAAATTTGTATTCTATACCATTACTGAACGACTACATTTTACCTTATACAGTAGATTCAAACTTCTCTGTATTTTCATTCATGGTAAGTCAGTGTCTGTGGTAGAATCTGAACAAATATTAATATCTATCCACGTTTCTTTTTATTTGTTTTATCTCTTGCTTTATAATATTGCAAATGAACTGTTGAGGTTTGTGATGTGCATTTTCTTAATAATATCTTCTTGCGGATATTCTTAAGTTTTAAGTTTCGTGCAAGATAATTAACTTCATGAAGGTAAGTTTATTGTTCTATTCAAAGGAATATTGATTTTTCGCATTATTTCGCAATTATATTCTGGTATTTTGAAAGTGCTATTTCAGTGTCGAGAAACAACTTACCTAAATGAATTTTTAAAAATCCCAAATTCCCCACATCTCAGAAACATGTTCAGGCACGTCTAAGAATATATCAAATGCAATGATCTGTTGAATAGTAGCTTATTACTCATTAAATTAACAAGAAAGGTGAAAAGTAAACTATTTGTTAATTGTGAAATTTTTAGATAAGTTAATGTTTGTGCATTTCACCAAATTACTATACCAGGCCTGTCAACTTGGGAACACCTAACATGAGTGACTTGGAAATGTTGAACACCTCCCCTCAAAATGTGGACACCTTGGTCCAAATCTGAACACCTTGATCCAAATTTTGAACACCTTGGTTTAAATTTTATTACATCTTGCCAAATTTTGAACACCTCAAATTTTTCGCGCTCGCTACGCTCGCTTTTCAAACATCAATGAACGGGGGGGGGGGGGGGGGGGGGGGGTAGGTACGAACAATTTCAAACGGAATGCGTGACATATCCGTAATTCGCGTGAAAAGTCCGAACGAAATGCGTACATTTTTTCCCGTCGTTCGTATTTTTGCTGTGTAGACGATCTTTTTTAGAAAATTTTCTACAGAAATATTTTTGCTTGACAATTACCAGATAAAATGCGTATTTGCGTGACATTTTCTGTCACGCAAAAATAACTGGCGTGACTTCAAATTCTTCAGCAAATGCGTGACAAATACGCAAATTGCGGGACAGTTGACAGGCCTGCTATACAGCAATGAAATGCAATTTTTAAATATACTGGTACTTACTGTGAGTGAAAATATGTAGTTAATTATGACCAGACAGGCCTATGATAATGCATTTCTGCTAACAGCTAAATATATAATAATTTATACCTGCAAAGTTTCCTAGAACTGAAACCTAGTTTTTTATTTGCTCTACTGCTTGGGCGTAGATTATTTGCTCAACTCAAGCTGATCTTACTCTATGTTTAAGTGCTTTATTGGTGAAAATGATTTTCTCACTTAAAAATTACTAAAACTTTTTTATCACGTTCTGTCCACTAAATGAAGATAACAATTGCTAAATCTTACCTCTCATTTTTTCTTAAAGTATATTCTAAAAATAAAATATCCAATACTAAAATACAAATTAGTGAGACTTTGAGATTTGTTCACAGGTTCATTTGTGAGAATTCTCCATCTGATACTTATATCAATATCTACATTTTGATTGAGAAAATAATATTAATAGTTACGTGACTTCATTTATTTTACTTTTAAAAATTATATTTTATTGCATCAAACTATAAATCAATATCTGAGCATGGGTTTCCATTTCTGGAAGTTTCAGTAAATTAACATTATTGACTTATTCATTCATTCAAACAATGTGTAACTCTCCCTCCACAACCCTTAAGGAACCCTCTGATCTGATTTCTCAACCAAAGTTCATTTACGCTATTATACATGTTGAAATATTATTTTAGAATTTGGCATAGTACTTTTGAACCAGTCACCCAGTACATCTATTATAAGTATTTCATTTTAGTTGACCTTTATCTGGGCCGGGTGATCTCATTTCTGAGAAGTTCAAAACTGACCTTGCATTCTTGCAACCTTTTTATTAAGCCAGCGATACCACTAAGCATTAAGCAAATACAATAGCATCGTTATACTGGGATATATGCTGGGGGCGGCAGGAACGTTTCACAATGGTATTTTGGAATTTCTAGGTCACCTGATTCACGGTCAAGAATATGAATCATCATATAATTCATGGAAGATGAGAGAATTTAACGTTAACGTCAGTCATAGAACTAGTTTCAGACCATTTAAAATTTCCAATTCTACGTTGCCAGAAAAAATTTGCGTCTGGAATCTATATATAAGATGAAATTATAATTTTTGAACAATATGAAGAATTGATTAAGACACTGTAAGTATTGAACATATGTTATTTTTTATTTAATTCAGTTATATTTCAATTTCTTTTTTTAAATCAATATATAAATTTTTTTTAATAATCAAAAAGGTATTTTAACAATATCATGATTTTTTTTTAGTTTTATGCGAGAAACAATGTATTCTAAAAAAGAAATGTCTAAAGGGAAAAGTTTTAAAGGTAGAAAATTGTCCAAAACTATAAAAGAATTATCATTCTTTTCAAAAACAAATGCATAATTCATTGGTTTGGACATTTTAATAACATTACTTTTATATTCCATTATAATTTTAGTTCGTAAGATTCAAGTTTATGGCACTAATTATTTGTATAGGCTCGTGACTGACAAACTACATTTCCCAACTTTTTTATCATCTCAATGTACATGTACTGTACATGTATATATAATATAATTATGCATAATTCAGTATTATCATTAACTAGACTTAGTTGTCTAAAATTAGCTGCACATACGGATTCCATCAAATTAGTCTGCTTATCATTATTTTAACAAACTGTATATGCATGTATGTACGATGTAAAACTACATACTTGGAAATAATTTATTGATCAAACTTATTTTCATTACACATTATGATAGGTTGCTACATTGAAATTTTTTTTTTTTTGATAGGGATGGCATTCTGAGGGTGGGAGGGTGCTAGATATGATTGAATGTTGATACGACACAGATTCCAGTACTATCTCAAAAGGAGCACGTAGGTTATCGCCAGCAATTTCAGAAGGTTATATCTTGGATTATGACTATTTTTTGACAATGAAGACATGTTTATCTTTTAGATCAATTCATTATCTCAAAGAAAATTATATACAGTAATAATAAAGTCAAACATACTTGGAGATATTTAACTAGCAATCAACCCATCAACACACTTTTTCAAAGATGTTGACCCCATTTTCACCAAAAATGCAATCATTTTTCACAATGTTTAATGCATTACTATTCTCTATTTTGATGTATCAAATAGTTCTTGAAAGAAAAACTTAATTGCTTTAAGATAAGTGTTCCCAATGTTATTTCTCCAATGGAAAATCTCATGCTATCCATTGATTTCAGTTCATTTTTCATTCCAAATTCATTATTTTTAAAGTCCCTGGAGCAATCAACTTTTCCTTTTAGGAAATCGAACATGTCTCAAAGCACTTTCTAATTATGCATTAAACAATATAATAAAAGGTTGCATTTTTGGTGAAATTTAGGTCAACACTTTTGAAAAAGTATGTTGATTGGTCCATTGCCCCTTCAATATCACTTAGGTCTGATTAACTAAATTATCAATATATATACTTTTCTTGAAGATAATGAATGGATCTAAAAGATACACCCATGTTCATGATCAGAAAATATTCATAATTCAAGTTAGAATCGTTTGAAATTGTTTGCGATAACCTATGTGTTCCTTTAAGAAGCCTTAGAAATATGGATTGATTTGAAGTTTTGCTGTAAATCAGTTGCATTATTTGCTGCATACTTTTGTGTTTTTCGCTGCAGTATTTCAATGTTTTGCCTGGGACCTGTGAAATGAGGTCGGGTTTGTCTCAATAAGCATCTCCTGTTGTATACTCCCTGTCCATAAGAAACATCATATTAAAATGATGGTGAGTCAGAGCCAGGAAGGCAAACATAATCTGTAAATTGGTCATCTTTTGAATCCAGTTTTTGTTTCTATTGTCCCATGGTCATCATGTTCTGTCCTCTTATATCTTGGATCTCTGTCTATCTGCTTGGTATTGGACTTAAAGCTGAATGATAAGTCTTAGTTAAAATGAATTACCATGTCTGGCTGTGGTGAAAGTAAACCCTGTTGTATTACCACTTTCATTGGAGAAGCAGCAGCCTCTCAGCCTCCCCCTCTCTCCTTTCAAGTTATTTATTTAGGGAGAAACTGAATTGTGTTGTTGGTGCAAAAGAAAAATGTTAAGTATGAGGGATCAACATTAAAACTATCATTCTTGAACAAGGAAGTTCTATCTGCAAATATTTTAATCAAGGGTTCAATTTTTGTCAGTCCAGGTTACTAAATTACATATATATGGCCGACTTGGATTTACATGTATGTAAAATTCTGTTTTTGCGTTGCAGTGGGTCAAATATTTATAGCTGTTATTCAACAAAATATCTTTCAATGCTGATAGTTTTTTTTATTGCATAAATTGTTACTGGTTTGCTACCATAAACATATAGGTCATAACATTTCTGTTTGCTTCATTCTTTCAGATATATATTTCATCTTTGACGGGGGAGGAAGAAGACGAAGACACGAAAACAACAACGCGCATGCCTAGGAATTATAATACATTTGAAATAAAAACCATAAAAGAAAATTTAGATGAAATTATAAGAGAATCACAAGCCTCAATTGAATTTCTTGGTGCTCGTGTATTAATAAACGGCTCCCCTGATTGCTGTAATCGAGCCGTGAAAAAAATTGAGGAAATATTAGCTCCAATCAGTCCTGAAAAGACACAAGTTGGTATGGCGATACAAGAACACCAACATAGGGGAGTTGACGAGGGAAAAGATGACTCAAGTTATGAGTCTGAAAATTCTAGAACTTCAAGTCGGAATAATAGTGATTCTGTACATGATGATGTCATAAGGACTTCTTCCGATACTCTTCGAGCTGAATACTCAGATCCTGACATTGACCCTTTGAGTAAGTCGGATCAAGGTCAAGGTCATACCAGGAGTTTACCGGAAGGAACTTATAGAACGAGTATACCACTAGGGTCACATAATCCTACTAGACTTTTAACCTCAACTTCAAGTTACGATCAGCTATTAGAAAAGTCAATTAAGATGGGATACTCACATCACTTATTCAATCAAGTGTGGCAGAAACTTGGCCCAAATAGTCACTTTAATGATGTTTTAAAAGAGCTTATAAAAACTGGACCAATCGGTGCTGTACAAAGTGAACAGGAAGAATCTACTAGTGTGTTACTTAGTGACACAGAATACCCTACATTAAAGGAATCAATGAACATGCAGCCTTCTAAGGAGTTTGATCACGGATTGTTTTCTCGCGGAATGTCTGTTTCAGTGCCGGGAGAGTTTGAAACAGTCTATGAAAGCATCTCACCGAAAGCAAGTTTAGAAGATGTTTCCCAACTAAGACATATTGTAATAGATGGCAGCAATGTAGCAATGAGGTAAATAATTTGCTTTTTAAAATTTTATAAACTAAAACGACTCCATTTTTAATAAGTTTTCAAATGGGATTAATTTTTGATGAAGATATCACTTGTTGATTTTTAAGTTATTTCTGTGTTTTATATGGCCTCAACTTGACACATATTCTTCTTAAATATGAGTTGATTAGGATCAATGAATTTTTAAAATTAATTTTAAAATATTTATTTCAGTCATGGCAACAAGGAGAAGTTCTCCTGTAAGGGTATTGAGATTGCTGTGAACTGGTTCAAGGCAAGGGGTCACAGGGATATCACAGTGTTTGTTCCAAAGTGGCGTAAAGAAGTTGCCCGAACTGACAATCCTATTATAAGTAAGTAATTCAGTTGTAGGCCTTTTCGGTTGATTTGCTTTATAGATATTACTTATGATTTTTTTTTCAAATAAATCTGAAAAATTCTAAGAAAATGAAGTTTTTTTAAATATTGCATTTTCAGGTTTTATTGCAGCATTAAATGCTTTTTCATAATCATGTGAGAATCACGTACGATTCACCTCTGGAAATTGTTTGTCAATTGCAATTTTCAACCTTTATTGAATTAGTGATACCAGGAAGTCTTTCAAACTCATTAACAATGACTGAATGAACAACCTTTGAAAGAGTTTTCAATTGCAAACACGCATATACAAATTTCAAGTCTCCTTGGTACATGTTCATATTCAAAACTGCATCATGAAATTATACCAGGGACCAGTTTTGGGTAAAATTGATGTTTGATTGTATCTAGGATTCATATTTTCTTCTATTTTTCTGTAGTCATAGTATTATATCCTCCCCAAATCACAATTATTATACAAATAGTGACTGCCATTGAGGGAAATAGTGACTGACCCTGAATTTTCAAGACTAGAGGGAATTGCTCTTCTTTTACAAAGAAAACAATAATGACAAAGATTGTTGCTTCAATAAAAATCTGAATGATAGTTGAATCCAATTTCACTTAGGTATCTAATGCCATCATACAACAAATTATAACTGACGAGTAAATTAAAATCTCAACTGAATGAATGTTAATTAAATTGTATCACTGACATGTGGTAAAATACATGAATTAATGAAAGTCTGATAGGTTAAAGTAAATGCCAAATCAACATTAGATTACAATATAAACCATTCGTGGTATGGGCACGATTTCTAACATTTATGATTACCACAACATACCATATGTAGTTTCGCTGATATAAAATGGCAATAATGTTTTGAATGTGGAAAAGCTGGGAGACATAAACATGGAATTGAAATATGAGTAACATGCGTTTATGTTGCTAGATTCAAAACAAAAACAAGAATTATCAGCGATGAAATAACAATTATTACCACCTTGCCGGGCCAGTTTTAGGGGTTTTAGTGCTAGTTTAGAAGGCATTCATTTTACTATATATAGACCTGAACAATATGTGATGTCATAGTGGTGGTCCATATTGCCTTCGGCCCTCGGTCCAATATTTCACTATATTGCCCTTCATTTTATTCAAATAGAGTAGATCCCGATATAATTTCAAACAATACCTACATGTAAAACAAATATAGATTTCAAGTACATGTTAACATGCAGGTCATTGCAAACCAGGAAGATTAAAACTCAGTAGAACTAGCAGCTCAGATTTCAAAGAAACAACTAAGATAATTTTTAAGGGCCAATGAGAAACCTGGAAAATGTGGTTTGTTGTTCTTACTGAGGCGTGCATGATGATAATAATATGTATACACATCCATTTCTGTCTTTATGTCACCACCAGAAGTGGTGACATACTGTTATAGTCTCCAAATGTTTTGTGGGCTGTCTTTGGCAATTTTTGGTTGGTGTTTGGCATCACAGCAGTAAGTGTCAAGCAAATGGCAGGTGGTGACATATTGTATCCTATTGCCTTGTTAAGAAATATATGATAATTATGATACAAATTACTTTGTACCAAACTGAAAAACAGTGAAACTAGAAACTTATAGCCAGTTTAAAACATTACGAGTTGAATCACAATCATTCTGCACTTAATAACAGCCTAACATTTAAATATTCTCATCAGACAATTAAGACTGGTCATTCAGTATATTATTGCATAATATTTTTCTGATGTTATAATTAATGAAAGTCAAGAAGTAGTGCTATTCACTGTACTTAGAATGTACTCTATAAAAGTGCTATACTTCTTTCCTGTTTCATATTACATATTTATTTTTTTAATTGCAGTGAATAAGTCTCACTTATCAACCTTGAAATTTAATCATTAATTTAAGTTCTGCGAAGATTATAATTACCACACAGTACATACTATAAATTGTATAAAATTCATTAAATAATGATTCAAATCTTGTCGCGGCAACACGGAGAATTGCTATATAGCTAGGCTCATTTGTTACTGGTATTGCCATTTTGCATCTTTAACAAATTGTTATTATACAGTATTTAATTTACCAGTTGCAAAAGTGTTCAAAATGGTTGTTGTGACTATTTGTTAATATTGGTAATTTGTTAATATGTGTGGAATATTAACAAAAACGTGTGGAATATCATATTTGAATATTGAACAAAATACTGCAAAACTGTAGCCTTGTTAAAATGAGAGATCAAAATATATCCATGGTATAAGTATGCTAACGAGACATAAAATTAAAAAGAATGAACTCGAATGACTTGAATTTCTGCAATTGAAGTACTGTATAAAAATCTATATTTTATTGACAAGGATATCAAAGATCTCCAAATTTTATGACTTTCAAGTATTGAGTTGATATTCCTGTTATCAGGTACCTAAAACAAAAATAAAACTAATACAGGGCAGCAAACATGCAGGTGATTTCTCTTTGAATTCATTCCAAAGTGCCATAATCTGAAACCTTGTGAGTCAATATATGGTTATCTCTTACCTTTATTTATAACGTAAACAAGGAAGTTCAACATTTGGTCAGAAGGATAACCTCATAAGAATTTTCAAAGAAATAAATGAACACGATTTAAGAAAAGAAAACCAATTAAGGAAATAACATTTTTTGTGGTTTTCTGTTGATAGAAGATATGATAACATAAATATCCTTGTCAGCTGAAAGAAGTATATTGTAAATATGATATTAATTTGTCATTTAAGTAGTGCAACTTATATTATGGACTAGTCAGATTATTGTGATATATGTCTACAAATGTTATCAACTATATTTTTTTTTGGGGGGGGGGGCATGGGGCTAACTTCATTTCGCTGGGGTAGATTTATTCCTGATTTCCAAATCATCCAGTTCGGAATTGAAAAATCCCCAAAATTAGGATAGGGTGTCCACTTTTGTACCCTCAAGAATTTAAATCCTCTTGAGAATCTGCACTTAAATAGAAACTTAATGAGGATGTTCTGTCTGATGCATCCGTTTCACTATTGCTAAATCATTCTATGAACATCATTGTTATCGTAAGAATTATATTTATACAAACATGCACTAGATATTTGCCAATGGTTACAAAAATCAGTTCAAACAACTCAACATTTGGTAGTTTTGATTACAAAATATATTTATACAATTTTAAGTCAATAAGTGGTGTAATTTACTTAGAATGCACTTGTGGAGTGTCCTAGGTATAAATGTGTACTTCAACTCCTTCCTTGAAGTTTCATATATAAAAATATTTTAATTACTGTGATTTAGTTCATTCAAATAAAGTCACTCTTATCAAACTTAAAATACTATTAATTATTAATTTACATATCTAAGAGGAATATATTTACTGTTCATGAAGAATTCATAATTTATTTAAAAAGTCACTGGTTATTTAACAATGCAAGCCAAGAACAGAAAATGCAATACCTAAAAGAGTCTTTTTGTCACATTATCCAATCAGATGGCTAGAAATTTCACAATAATGTACAATGGTACATTGTAATTATCCATTTTATATAAATCAAAGGATTATTATGGGTTGTTTTAATCATTTCATAGCAGGAGTTTCATTAGCAACAGGCAACAGGCGATTTTCACTGGTTGTTTTCACAAAATCACTTGTTATTTTAAGGGACTTTTCAACTTTTTCATGTTGAATTTATGATGTCCATTAATTTTGCCTGTTGTTTTCATTTATTTAGCATATTGTGAGAAATTCTAGTGAAACCCCTGTATAAGTAATCTATCTGCCATACATTTATGTTGATCACTCAAAAGATATAATACTAATAGGGAGGCTAAGCTACACATTTTTAAGAGAACCTGTTTATGTTATGTACTATTATGACTCAAGGATAATACTGTCTCCCTCTACTAGATGAGTGTAGAAATAATCTCGATTTACTTCATTAAATATTCAATACTCAGTCAAAGTGATGTCATATTTGAAATCTACATGTAAAAGAATATCTAGAAATATGGTTTCGAAAATTGTTTATCAACTTTGAAAAATTGTGTGACTTCTAGTTCGGGTTGATTCCATATAGACCCCATGTTACAAAATCTTTTTTTGTATTAGACAGTTAACATTTTCTTTTACTGGACATGTTTTAATTTGCATAACTATTAGATACATAAGAGTTATATGAAAATTGAACCACTAAAACAGATGAAATTTGAAAAAAGGGAACTTTCTACCATACCCACCATGCGGGTTGACCCGAATGAGCCACCTGGTGGTGAAAATGGTAACTACTTACTCGCAAATGCTTTATTATTTCCAAGGTCCTAATTAGTAATTCCAACTATTTTCCTTCTACCCATTCAAGGAAGGGGAGCACTAATCCCTAGAGACACAATTTTATACTTATTCCCTTAAAATGTGTAGCTTACCTCCCTAATATAATTATTCATTCTCTAATATCATAGGGTCATTGTTAGTCTAACCTCTGTGGTTGCCATATCACAATGTTAAGATTTTCATGAAAAGAATTTTGTTTTATTTCACTTCAAAGGTAAACAAAAACTCTCAGGGATTATTAAAATATATATTCTTTGTTATATTCTGTTCAATATATATTTTTGATAAATGATCATTTCAGAAACTTATTGACATCACTCTTAGATGGGGTATAAATAATTTATTTGCAGGACTTTTCAATGGCTGACAGTTTTTAACACCTTTTTACATTGAATAATTGTATTATTCCGGATGCAAGAGAAAATTTACTACTGTACACCATTCATGTACAGCTTTTTACAGCATTAGCTTGACTTAGAAGCACTGCAGTATAGTTAGATATTAAAAAAAGACAGAAAAGACAACAGCTTAATTCACATGCTTTGTATCTTTTATAGATCAGGAAATTCTGCATAAACTAGATCAGGAAAACATCCTTGTTTACACACCATCACGACGAATTGGTGGCAAACGTGTTGTGTGTTATGATGATCGATATATCATTAAACTGGCATCAGAATGTGATGGCATTGTTGTGTCAAATGACAACTATAGAGATCTCCAAAACGAAGCCCCAGAATACCGCAAAGTGATTGAGGAGAGACTTTTGATGTATTCATTTGTCAATGTCAACGGAGAATCTAGGTAGGTCATTCTTACCCCATCTAAAATTCCACTTTTCCACTGATATAATTATGGGATATGGCGACTGGTGCAATCATGTTATGGGAAAATCATGGGGTGTTATGGGGAAACCAATGGTAATTAAAGTACTAAGAAAGCAAGTCATGTTCCTGGATTAACTTCCCAATAGAATACAACCTCCATTTGAACTTCCTAATAATTTTGAGAAGTATTTTTAACTATGTTTACTTCCTATTATTGTTGTCCACTTGTTTATTGTAATGTTATTGTAACATAAATAGGGTCATAACGGTTTGGTTTTGATATTTATTTCTACTTAAACTTTTCTATGGTTATTTCCTACATTGCATTGATATGGTCATGACAGAAGTCAAGTTGACTTTGTTTTTTGTTTGTATTGTTAGGCGTAAAGTGGCCTTAATTAAACTTTTGAACTATTGATTTATATTAATCAGAATGACAACTCATGTTGTTAAAGTTGACATAGGGCGTCATGAATCTTTCAAATTATCTTTCCATCAATATCAATTGGATTGTAGGAGTATAATAAAGATTAACTGGTGAATATATAGGAATTATAGCTGTGATATCATTCTAAACTGAATTGAACTCCATGTTGGATGCATAGTCATGTTGATGTCTCATATTGTGAAAAACTGGACCCATTGTGACCCAGTTTACTTCTCTACTTCCGACTTAATTAGGCAACTATGTAATGAAGTCACGTTTACACTACAGCTGTATTCTCACTGTTCCAAATCTGGACGACTCTAACTGCAGTTAGTATCATTCAAGATGGTGGCCATAATTATTTTGTTTTTGATAACCAAAGATTTCAGCTAAAATTAGTTGAATCTGGATTCCAAATGTTTCGCCCTGCAAACAATATCATCATCTGCATCAAGTTCAATTAGAGTCATTCTAAGTGAGGCTGTTTTCTTTAAATTTATCCAATATCGCTGGTGTTTGAACATTTTCTTGCGACTGTTTTCAATCATAACTTTATTGGTTTCCATGACGAAACATTTGGAATCGAGATTCAACTTAGTTTAGCTGAAATCTGAGATATTTCCAAAACAAAAGTATTTTGGCCACCATCTTGAATGATACAAACTGTAATTAGAGTCATCCAGCTGTAGAACAGTGATTCTCCTATTTCTTTTTCACTCCTATTCACCTAAAAATGATTTTAAAATCAGTTACCGTTGGTTTCTATTGAATAAATGTACTTATACTTGTAATAATTTTCTTTGTCTTTGTTTTCCGATTTTCATACTTACTTTTTAACCATCATATTTTAAAATACTGACTTCTGAAAATATTAATGTAAACTCAGTTAATTATTCATCCTTATGTTGTTGTGTTATGTTAGACTAATTCAAATGTCAGCAAAATATTTTATTTCGTTTGAACTTAAAGCCCTTGTTTAAAGGCTCATATACAAGAATCTCATCTGCATGAAGATTTCTCAGGAAAGGGGGAATTATATAGTGTATGTCAAATGATATTTACAATATTGATAATTGACATGGACTTTCAAACTTTATTTATAGTTCATGAGGGTACAAATAACACATACAAACAAACAAACAAACATACTAGTCTGTTTATTCGGCTAGTATTTTGTAGTCTTTGTATAGACTTATTTCAAAGGGCAACATAGTGAAATCTTGGCCCAAGGGCCGAATCTACATAGTAAGATACAAGCCTTCTAAACTAGTACTAATACCCTTAGAAGAGGCCTCACAAGGTGGTGATAATACTTTATAATGTAAAATAGGTGCAAATATAAGAAAATAGTTCTGGTATAGAGTAAAAAAGAAGTCTGATTCTGCTTAGATTGTTTTTGTCATAAACTATGTTGAATCTTTCAGATTTATGCCACCTGATGACCCATTGGGTCGACATGGCCCATGTCTAGATAACTTTCTCCGCAAGACCCCAACTATACCAGAGCAAAGACCACCTAACTGTCCATATGGGAAGAAATGTACGTATGGGAACAAGTGCAAATACTACCACCCTGAACGTGGGAACCAGCCACATAGGTCAGTCACAGAGCGAATTGCGTCAGAAGCAGCTACGAACATTAAGTTGGCAAAGGAACAGAAATCAAGACAAGCAGGTATGTCCCCCTGTGCAACATTCTCAAGAAGTATATTGCTTATGGACAGTCCTCTTAAAGTGAATACATTTTGGCTGTTTCTACAATTTTCTCTTTGTAACTTTGAAACTCATCTATTCTTGCATGTAAGTTGATGAAAAGTTACATGAATATGAATAATGCTGTGAGTGTTATTATGAAACGATATATAGTACTATATTAAGCATATGCCTCTGGCATGTGTGACATTGATAGAATACCTTTTATTAAATGTATTAATCATTCTTATATCCGTTTCAAATAGGTGATGTGCCTGAGATCCAGCTACCAGACTCGGAAAGTCCGTCCCTGAAGCAAACAAGCAGGTTCAATAGACTTCAACCAGCTAAGAAAACTGCACTGATGCGAACGACATCTGTCATAGAACAGCCAGTGACATCAAATCGCGACCTCGCAGACTCCATGAAAACCATGAGTTTGACTGATTCAGATAGGGAAAGGATTATTAAAGAGAAGGCATACAATGAAAAATTGAAAAATATTTCAAAGCAAATTGATGAACAGGACAAATTACCAGATCATTGGAGTAAAGTGTCTGAAAATGCACCTGTCCCCAAGAAACCATTGGCATTAACTAGCGGACATTTGACATTAGCGAAAAAGTTATCAGATGAAGGTCAAAGCAATGAATCATCGGGTAAGCAGTCGCCTTTGGGATCTGGCCTGACCCCCAGGTCTTCAGGCTCACCCCAAGGTAAGCCCCAGGATGGGCACGCTAAACTTGGACGTCAGTTGTCACTAACTGGATCAGAGGACCCAAGACTGAAGAAACGACAACATCACCCACAGTCCAGACCAATGGCCCCTTCACCTGTGTATGACGAGGAGCGCCATCATTCATACCCCTTAGATATACACCAGGTTCGCCCCCCTACACAAGTGGTACGTCCAATTGGGAGACAGCTTAGCACAGGGACTAGACCACCGGTATTAGGACATCATTTGGGACCCTTTGTCACAAGAGAGATGCTGCCAGAACATGCTCAATTGACACAAATGTCAAGTGATCCGCATGCCTATGGTAAAGCACAACCTCATGCAAAACAAATAAACCCCCGTATGCTGAGACAGAATAGCACGTCAGACCCACAGATAGCTCAAATGGATGATACTAAAGGCATGATCCCTCACTCCTCTTATGGTCTACATCAGGGAGTACATTCACAGGCTAGATCATCTTGGCCTTACGCCATGGACAATAAGAACATATACAACCCTCAACCACCCTACACCCAAGGACAGGGAAATATTGTATATGGAGCAGGGGGGTACAACCAATATACAGGAGACTACCAACAGGCACAGAGCTATATGTCCCACCCAGGGAATCAACCACAAGTTCATCAGTTGACCCCTCAACCCCAGTATGGGGGTGTGCACTATCCAGGGGGATTACTACCACAGGAGGGTCATTACTCCCATGTCCACAATATACCGTCTACCCAGCAGTCTCATATGTTCCAACACCAACAACAACAGGAACCACATATTTTGATACAGAGTTCAGCCAAAGGACCTATAGGTATAGGTGGAGCTACCAGTTCAGGTAGTCAAATGACCCAGAGTCAGATGCCAACACTTTCGTATGATGAATCTGATGACATCAAACCAACAGATACTCGCTATAACACTTACTTGCATCTGTGTGGCATTTTCCAAGAAAAGGATGTTCGTAAGGTTATGAACAAGTATCCACACGAATTAGACGCAAAAAAGATATGTTCGTATCTAATAAGTATGAATCCATGATTCTATCCGTAGGCTAGACACCTAAAATTAGTGTTTTGCACATAAGTGAAGAATTAAGTCAAAATATAATAATCATTATGGTGGGAGTAAAGATTCTGGAGTCGAAATCTTGAAAACTCAATCATCTAGAAATGTTGAATGCTTATATACAGGTAGTATGTCATTTTTTCATGTTTGATTTTTTTTAAGATACAAGACCACTGACCCTCCTGATGTTTTGACTTGATCCAAAAGCACAGTTTTTGTCTAATGGTGTTGTAACATACACAATTTGTAAATTTCACACCTTTATGTGTATACTCTTTATTGTAACTCTGTAATTAAACTCTGTTTGAGCTTTTTGAGCCCTCTCTCATGACCAGGCTATTATATGATATATAACTGAACTGAAGAGCCTACTCCAATATAACTTCACCTCATTAGACTGTCATTGTGTTAACAGAACTCCAAATCAGTTGAAATGAACAGCCCTAGTAAAAGCCAATGCCTCAGTAAGTCAGTCACATTTGATCTAACGCAACTTTCCTGCAGCCGTAGCTTCCCAAAATCTAGAGAAATAATGCAGCATAGAATAAAGGGAGAAGCAGTACGATTTAGATTTTCTATATCAATTTTGTGAATCTACGGCCGTCATAGGGCAAATGTGACTGGGGTTTCACTTAGAACAATCATATATGTATTAATATATATTAATTACTGACACAATTAGCCATGTGTAAGGGCTGTGTACTTGACTGCAGTGTGTGTACGATTTCAACATATCCCAATTGCATATATCACATATAGGCTATAGGCTTAATATACTTAAGTATATGGTTTCTCAATTTCATCTTGACATCTATATACAAGCATGCGCACAGGAGGTATTATATTCTTGTATTTGTGTGTTGATATGAAATATGAAACTATTATTATTGTTCTGCTGTATATTTGTATGAATTAATCATCTGTTGATATGCTGTATCTGATATTATTGAATGATTGTATTAATGAATGAACTGAAATTACTTGTGTAAGATTACATTTATCCCGTACACATAACCAGTAAATGTATCCTTTCTTATACCATAAATGATTACTTTGTAAGCATATCGCTGCTATTCATATTCAATTTGATAGTTAGCCTGTAGACGATAGCTTAATGACTCAGCTATAGAGGATTAATTTTACGTCAACTTTTAAGAGATAAAGGAAGGTTACATATGAAAGTTGTTTGGAATATCGTGCTGAAACACGATCCTACTCTGTCATGACTGAACAAAACGTGAGTGAAATCTGCATAGTAAAATCTTGTCATATGGTGATGTTCTAAAATCCAAAGTAGAATAAGAAATGGGGAAGCGAGAACATTTTGACGTAAAAAGGTATGAAGACAAAATTTCAAAAAGTACAAAAAGACAAAAAAATAAGATACATCATTCACATTTTAAACAGAATGGATTGAATTAAGCAAAATGCTTGAGGAATTTCAGTCAGGGGCACTACGTGACTATTGCAGTTGTAATAATTGTTCATCATGTAAGATTATAATTTCAAACCCTCTCAAAACAGCCATCATTTATTATGTATTCTACATTTAAAGAACATTTGGACAATATTACATGAAAATAGCTTGTATTTTCATTTTCTGTTCAGTTCTGAGAAATTAAATTCTCGATTTATTATTGCTTTAATGAGAGACAACAGAATTATGAAGTAAGGGATATATTGTATGAGCATAAAGTGAGCACACCTTGACTATTAGAAATCACAAAAATGGTAATTTGTTCATGGCTGCATGCAGGCTATAAGTCAATCTTTAGCTGCTATGGAGATCATTAGTGTGAACCTTGTTCAACCATGATAGACATTTATATAGATATTTAATAAAAGTACATCTTGTTTTCTCTCCATGACATCTCTGGCTTTCAAATATGAACATGTTCAGATGTAAACGATTTTCTAATGTGATTATTTGTGGCAGATTCCTACGATGAAAGAAATCGTCTCAAATAAGTATTGTACATAACATCCTGTCTGTTACAGCTGGTTTCTTTGACTCTTACAAAACAGAGTCATGACTTCAAATTAATCTCATGGAACTATTTATATTGGATTAACATGAGACGTCTATCTCATGCCAAGTAGCAATACTATTTAGCATGTAATTTTTGCAGACATTTTAATCACAATACTTCTCTGTTCATGAATTTAATGTGTCAATATTTTTAGTGATATTGTATTGAGATCATTGAGACTTGCAGTAGATTATCATTCTAAAATTATGTGTAGTTCCACCAACATACTTTTCAATTTAGAAATCTTAAAAGTTGTTATAAAGTGAAAAACACATGTTATATGTAGTGTTACAGCGGGATGTGTGCTCTGTATGAGACTACTATTCTTAGAATTCTCTAAGGAATCACAGTTCTTATATAGATAAGCTTAATGCAGGGCTGTCAACTTGGGACCACCTAATATGAGTGACTTCAAAATGTTGGACACCTAAGTCCAAATCTGAACACTTTTGTCCAAATTTTGAACACCTTTGGCCAACTTTTAAACACCTTTGGCCAAAGTTTGAGCACCTTTGCCAAACTTTGAACACCTCAAATTTTTCGCGCTCGCTACGCTCGCGTTGTCGACAACGGGGGGGGGGGGGGGGGGGGGGGGGGGGGTAGGTGCGAAAAATTTCCAATGAACATGCGTGACACATACGGGATTCTCGTGACAAATCCTAACAAATTGCGTTCGGTTTTTTCCGGCGTTCGTATATTTACCGTATCGTAAACATATTTCGAAAAAGTTTCTACAGAAATATTTTTGCTTGACAATTACCAGGTAAAATGCGTATTTTGCGTGACATTTTCTGTCACGCAAAAAAAACTGGCGTGACTTCAAATTCTTCAGCAAATGCGTGACAAATACGCAAATTGCGGGACAGTTGACAGGCCTGTTAATGTCACACCCAGGGCAGCATGACTCCAGGTTTATATCAAGATATTTTCAATCTGTCTTCCCCATTGTTAATATTTTGTAAACTAATTTTGTGTTAACTCATAGTTTTTCAAGGGATTGGTGTTGTTTATGGTAGATAGAGTTCCATGTATATATTAATCATTTTTTGTTGATTTGTCTTTCTTTAAAATTTGTTTCGTTAAATTTTTAATTAAATTGTTAATTATTTGCTGGCTGGGACAGCACTTGAAAAATGCAAGGAAAAATATTTTCTGTATCAGGATGACTGAATTTAAGATGATGTGTTTAGACGTGAATGGATATGTTGGTTCACTTAGCTGTTTTATAATTCTATTCAGTGTGGTTGGTTATATGAACTATAAAAAAACTATACAAGTACACCTATTCTTCTGAGCAATGACTATCATGAAGTTATTTTCACAAAGAACAGTCGGGCAACTTCACTATGTACATAAAATATGTTTCCAAAGCAGTTGAATATCTTGGAGGCAAACCATTTAATTTTGGAAGAAATTGTTAATCATAAAAATTGAATGTACTGTACCAAGTAACAATCTGTAGATGTCTCTGCTCAGAAGAATGGGTTGATGTAAAAAAAAATGTATACAAATATCTACAGTATCACTAGTGATGTGTGTAATTATTATTAGGTTGTGCATACACTATTACATCTGTAATATGCATTAGGACCCAATGAATAGCATACCATTGTTGCTGAAAGGGTACCAAATTGAAGATGTAGTATTTGGATTGGTTTAGTGTTGAATCAGTGCCAAATGGAGAGATTGCGTGTACATGTATAGTTAATACTTGTAACCCCCCCCTCCTTGGTAGCAGGGCTAGGAGGGTCAATTAATTAGCTGATGAATTATAAGGTATAATGCCTCAGTCATTTTGGATCTACGACAGCTGTATACTCCCAAAATTGTAAGAAAATGCAGCTTAGAACATAGAAACAAGCATTTCAATTTTGTAAAGCTACAGCCACCAAACACCATCCAGAGAGCAAATGTGACTGAGGCTCAAGTGTCCAAAAAATGAGATGTGGAATGGGTTGATGAGTTAATCACTATCTCAAGTTGACCATAGATTTCTTGTATTCACACACTATAATCTACTATTAGGACATCATAGTTGTATTTCACAATATGGTCATATTATTATTATTATGTCCAAGCTGCTTTTGAAGTGCAGTATTATTTGATGATTGCACAGTTGTATGGTTTATGCTTATAGAAACAGTTAAAATACTAATCCAGTTAACCATGCCCTCAAGTTAATCACTAGCCCTCTTCACAACCATGCCCTCTTCACAACCATGCCCTCTCCATACTAATGAAGCTATATAGTAAGGGCTTCGGGCTAAATACCAATGTGTCATTTTTAGCTGGACTAATTACGCTAGAAAATCATTGAGTGGGTGATAATACGATCAGAGCAGTTCCAAAGAGATATTTTGTTATGTTGAGTTCTCTGGCTAAATAAATTAAATGCCACAAAATAAAATGGAATGTAATCTAAATGTAGTCCTAAAATAATTGTTTAATGCAAATAGCATTGGTATCCATTGATATGGGATTATGAAAACACATTATCTTAAGTTATAAAATCAAAATATATATAAGAATATTATGGTTAGATATATGTAATGATTATGTTCTATTCTGAGTTTCAATTAGTTATACTGATATATTTATCTGTTTATATATTTTTGATTGTTTGTTTAGAATAAGAATATTAGGGTTGCTAGTGAATTATAATCACAAGAAAATGTAATTACAGGGGTGTTAGGATATGTTGAATCCTTCTTGGAAAAAATCCTAACTTCCCGAAAGTGTTTGCCATGGCACTGTCTTTTGGGCATGTAAATGATTTGATCCTACATCTACGTACCCTGATCTGTTTGTATGTTCTCCATACCAAAGCAGGGGATCACTTCATAAAAAAAACTCTCGCTTACTAAGAAATTACTGAATCATAAGTCATAAGAACAATAGATATGAAATGCATATATGGAGGAATGGAAGTCTTATTAAATCAAGTGCTGCTTATTACATGTATATTCCCTAGAGACATGCTATGTGGCAAGAACAATTTGTATGCTCTTTATGAGCAAAAATGTTATATTCAAGTATTGTACAGAATTATTAACCTGTGTAATTGCATTGTAGTGTAGTGTAGTTTATGCTTATATCCATGATGTAGTTTCCAATTATAATAGGATGTTATGTATTGATAGTGTTATAATTATTATTTGAAAAATAAAGTGTTTGGAATTGTACATAATGTTTTATGTTTTTAACAGGCAATACTTGTAAAGATGAGGCCCTTTTCTTCTAAAAAAATGCTGACTCTTTTTGTTTCAAAAGTAAAATATATAATATGAGATAAAGTTGATACCTGTGTCTAATCCACACACCAAGATATATCATGTTTTCTGTATTAGAACTAAGGCTTTATACATTCTATCTTGACAATGGGACTCAGCCCGAGGTAGTAACTTTAATAAACCCTTCAATTCTTTGCTTTTAGCCAAATACCTTATTTGCCATTTTTCCATGAGACTTGGCCAGACAGACAATCAAATAAAGATTTTCGTTATAAAATAGCCAAATAAAAATTATATCCAGTTTATTCCTCCAGAATACCTGATGCACATTGTTTCAAATACATTCTCATGGTGGGGGCATCATCCAAAATACAGTTCCACTGTAGAACTGTTGAATACCTAAGTTTTTCCTCGATAAACCAACTCAACCAATGTTTATAGTGGGATTATAAACATGCAAAATGTCACCACCTGCAGACATCAAACGCTGAACACCATTCACCAAAAAGATGGAGACTATCAAAATTGAAAATAAGCAATTTATTTTTGAGGTATTGCACAGCTTAGGAATTGAACGACTATAAATGGGGAGAAGCAGAACTAAAATATGGTGAACTGACATTGTGATCAAATCAACATTACATATAATATGTAGCAGGTGCAATATACATTTATTTCATTAAAAAATATTTGTACAATATATACATCAATTATGTACATTATACTTGGGCCTTGGACTTATTTGATAAGGTGAATTGCATATTATATTATAACAAGTCACAATGGAGTCAAGGTGAACAATTTTTCATGATTCACTGTGTCCTCCCTTCAATAACTGTCCATAATGACATTTAATTGTAGAACTGCAGAATGTTAATGCAAGAACTACTATAATTTCTCAATGATCAACAAATATTTCACAAATGGCTAGATTTTGTTGATAATGAATAAACAAAGAAGTGAAAACTCCTGCTCCTGGGTGCAGCCATTTTGGTATAAATGAAGGATCACTTTAAGAGGAGACTTCTATATTATCAGGAAAATTAGTGATTTTTGTGGTTGTTTTTAAGAGTGAAAATCATATTGAGAGAAAGTAATCATAGAATCAAAGTTCCATGACTTGTATAAATATTGCGTCCAATTTTGTCGTCCAATGGAAGATTCTCCAACACAGAAAACAGAGAGATCACTACTATAAAAAAAAAACAGATGTTTTCAGTCCCAGTATTTAATAAGTCCATCCCACCCTGCAGATGCCACTTTTGATGTCTCATGGGGATGCCATAATACTGCAATACACACATCATCATGTGCCTTAAACTTGGAGTAGAGCTTAGTCGTCTTCCAGTCCCAGACATACACCTTCCCATCAGCATCACCTGAGATCACATAACTGAAAGTAAAGAGAGTTATTCATTTTACAATGAGTGCTTGATATAACAAGGTCTATACAATTGTTACAGACATTGAGGCTGAATGCCAGCCGCATATAAAGGACACACATCTTCTATGCTCACGCAGTGAACTGTTACCAAAATGTGTAAAATTAAAATTACCAATTTCTTGAAAGATGACTACAACTTTTTGTCCAATGTCAAAAGCTGTTATCCATGGATGGATTTTTAAACATTTTTTATTCCAAGAACAACTTAACAGCATTGTATTGTACTTCTAGCATGCATCATTTTGTGACTAAATGAGACTTTTGATGTCAAAATCACCATTTTCACAAAAACTAGGAAAACTTGCAATTAGACAAATAGCTTCATGTTATTTATAAACATTAGAAGGATGTGTTCATGGGCTCATATAAATTGTAAGTTTTCAATTATAAAACCCTCACTGACCAAAGACAAAGAGCACAAAACTCAAATTAAGAATGACTAGAAGGTACCTGTGCCAGTTGTAGCTTTGCAATATTACACAGCAGAGTAAAATTGCTTCGTCACTATTCGAAGCTTCCTAACAAAGGATTCTGTGCCCTGATGATGTATCACCTTAAAAATCATCAATTTCAAAGCTTCTTTGTCAAGATGCTGAGAAAATCTAACCATTGTCAGAACTTACCTCATATCAGGTGCAAAATCTGGAGAACATGCATACCCAGCCACCATATGTCCCTTGAAGACCTTCTTGCGCATATTCTTCATCCTGTCAAGGGCATTGAAGATCACTATCTTGTTCTCCATGGACTGACATGCCAACCATTTACCTGAAACATATCATGTAAAATATCAGTGTCAATTCTTTGAGTTTATCTAACAGTATTGACACTTTGATAGATGGAAATTCAACGTATATATACAGTAAAAGCATTTTTCATTTTTTGCTCATTTGATATTCTTTTTGTTATACAATTTGATTTCATTTTGATGATATGAGTGAGCAAACAGAGACCAAGTACATGTATGCACATTTTAATACATAATTTTTAATTGTAAAATTGAATTGAACAAAATATGTCAAAGTAAAACCTATTTTAGTGATAAATTCTGTGACTGATATATCCGTCACACTGTATATAAAAAATCATTTGAAACTCTCCTCTATAATATGCAATATCTTTAAGAATATGGCATAAGAAATACAGGTAGCCTCCTCCTTTTGAAAGTGATCAGTATGTCACTTACCATTCCTAGAGAGTGTTGTTGAAGGCATCGAGTGCATGCCTGGCTCAGCAATGTATTTGAAATCAACAGGTATGTCCCTGGAAAAATAATAAGCACATCACATATCAAGAATCTAAAACCAATTAACATTAATACGTAATAAGAATGGTCACATAAAATATAAGGAATTTCAGATATTACTTTATAGATGATATTCACAATAATACATACCCACATACATATAAAAAATCAAAAAATCATATTTTCAAACCCAGGTGTTAAACCCATTTTTGCCTTTAAGATATATGAATGTGTGTTTCCAATTATCTATACCTACAACAAATACAAGGGGTAGTTCTCTCACATAATTCTGTATCACTACTAAGAATTTAGTCAGTAGTCTTTCAAGGGTTTTTGAGAATTTCATATCCAAAACTGTCATAACATTATTATCATACAGAGTGGTAAAAAATGGAAACCCTTACGCCATTTTCCTCATATCTTTCTCATTTTGATTAATAACTCCCTGATATTTTATACATTTGTACATCAAAGTGCTGTTACATTGTGACTATCAGTCTGATGGTCATGAAATATGATAGGATGGTAGAAAAGTGAATGATGTACAAATGTGTGAAATATAAGGGAGAAATTTCTAAAAGTGACAAAGATATGAGGAAAATGCAGGGTTTCCATTTTTTACCACCTTGTACCTGATCCTGCTCTATATGCATGTTGTTTTAAGATATGTATAAAAACATGTGTCTTCATAAACATATCCTTTTAATACATTAACACTGACTCAGATGTACATACCATTCCCAAACTCGTAAACTTTTGTCATCTGAAGTGGAGACAAATCGTCTGTTCCCATCTATGAAGTTGATTGAATTGACTGCTCCCAGATGTCTGTCGTATTCCTGTACTACGTCCCCTGTACGTATGTCCCACTACACAACAAAATAAATGAAATCATTAATATGTAGTATGGTAATGGAACCACTGTCTCTAAAGTATGGTCATAGAAACGTATCATTTGAGTATGGTAATGGAAACACATCACTGGAGTATGACAATGGAAAAACATCATTGGAATATGGTGATGGAAAGATATATTATCAGAGTATGGTAACGGAAGCACATCACTGAAATATGGTATACCTGTCTATGTGAACACCTAATGAATAGAGATATTAAAATTCTGTACTACAAAATTCTGCAAGCCTAAATGTGGAATTCTGCATTTTATCGTGGATTTTTTTCACAGCATTTTTAAGTCGAAATTGTGTGAAAATCAAAACTGCCATACGTTCATCTCTAATGTAACAACAGATATATTTGGTAACAATATAGTGATGATATATTGAAAGCATGAATTCCGCAAAAAATCAACAGAAATTCAACATGCTTTAAATTTTTACAAAACTAAAAATTCTGCTTTTTTCTGCTGCGGCGTGGAAAAAACGAATTCTAGTATCTCTGATTGATGTACAAATGTACCTCTGTTTAACAAATAGTTAACACATAGTAAAATACACCTAACTTCCTCATTATCAAGTGTTTCAGCATCAGCAACATTTTTGTGATTTGAAATGCAAACACAGAAAATATGAAACAGCGGAAGAGTGTTATGCCTCAATGGAGTAAAACAAGCAACAGGGTTCAATGACTTTACTATGAGAAAATGCAACATTATGTTCAAATATTTTTATGTAAATAAATATGGGATACACTAAATACTTACACAAACAATCTTTTTGTCTGATGTTCCTGCCACAAACAAATGTTGTTTGTCTTCATCTGGGTTAAACTTAACACAATATGGCACCTTTTTACTGGTAAATCTTGATATGCATTCACCTGGAAGAAAAAATTGAACAGTTGATGGTGAATACAAGATGGATATCAATGATCTCACAAGAATTGAAGCAACTGCACCAACTTGAGATATTCAAAACAGTTTGCCTCCACTTGAAAGCCAAATTGCACCCACTTGATTTAAGGAAAATCATAAAACATTGGCATAATTTGACCGCATTGAGAAAGACGTGAGAGAGAGAATTTTACAAATACTTGAAAAAAGTATAAACTCTTCAAAGAAAACACTTCAATAGTTGAAAACTATATTTTGCATTTTCACTTTACCGTCTGACATTCAGAGAGCTATGTACAGTGCATAATAATATAAAGAACTATTTAGGAGGAATGACGGGAGCTGGTATATTTGAAAATTCAAGGGTTCAAAAGTTAAATTAAACAGACAAAGTTGACTACTCTTGAGAATATATAGATTCAGTTACCTGTTTCAGTATCCCAAAGTTTACAGAATCTGTCATATGCACAACTGATGAACTGAGTCCCAGGGTTATTAAAGCAGATATCTCTAACAGCCTGCTTGTGTCCACTGTATGTCCTTACACAACGACGCTCATTATACACCTCCCATATCTAGAAACATGTAATTATACTGTGTGAAATGTTTACAAAAGAACTCAATATCAAATATCATTAAGACATACTTTAAAAGGATGATTATGTTACATTAGTGCTATGTTATGTTATTTCAATGTCTATAAGCTTTTCAAGAAAGAGTGGAACATGAGTTGATAAAATCTACATTAAATATTAATTTACAGAATATATTGATGATTCTCCACCTATATTATTTCAAATCCCTTTTTAACTTTGATTTTATGTACTAATCGGTGTTCTTCCATTTCATATTAAAATGTTCGATCTTTTTCCACTTCCACAAATTTTTGATTAATTTGATTAATCTCCAAATAACAAATAACTTACTTTTATTTTTGAATCCATGCCAGCAGACAGGAGTAGATGTGCAGATTGCGGGAACCATTTTATAGTAGCGATACCCTTACTGTGTCCTGACCAAGTGTGGATCAGCTTTTTGGGGATAAAACATTTTTCTGGAGGTTCCTCTGATTTGAGATTCACCCCAACGTCCTGAGGTATATGTAGGAACGATCGACCTTGGTAGTCAAATGCATCTTTGACTGAAATGAAATAATTAAAGGGCGAACTGTACATATTTTATAGCATGAAGTTGCAGTTAGTACACATAATATAACAGAGAAACGGCTATAGGCTTTTTTCTAAATATCAAACATTTTTTAAGTTTATAGTTCCATTCAAATATTTACAAACATATGATAACAATGTGACACATTTTACAGATATAAATCAATTAGTTTTTTAGGTTTCATTTTGCCAAACAGCCCGTCTGATTCCCTTTAATATAATTAAATAAAATGCATTTGATCAAACATAAAATGATTAATAGTCCTACTGTGTAAAGTTGTTTTTTCTTCCATAGGTTTCTCCTCCACTTGTTTTCCTTTCTTGTTTCTCTTTGCCAGAATGACATCCAGATCTTTCTGATCCTCCTGTAAATAGACATGTAAAATAACCCTTGTGTTATTAATATATTTGCCAGAATGACATCCAGATCTTTCTGATCCTCCTGTAAATAGACATGTAAAGTGACCCTTGTGTTATTAATATATTTGCCAGAATGACATCCAGATCTTTCTGATCCTCCTGTAAATAGACATGTAAAGTAACCCTTGTGAAATTAATATATTTGCCAGAATGACATCCAGATCTTTCTGATCCTCCTGTAAATACACATGTAAAATAACCCTTGTGTTATTAATATATTTGCCAGAATGACATCCAGATCTTTCTGATCCTCCTGTAAATACACATGTAAAATAACCCTTGTGTTATTAATATATTTGCCAGAATGACATCCAGATCTTTCTGATCCTCCTGTAAATACACATGTAAAATAACCCTTGTGTAATTAATATATTTGCCAGAATGACATCCAGATCTTTCTGATCCTCCTGTAAATAGACATGTAAAATAACCCTTGGGAAATTAATATATTTGCCAGAATGACATCCAGATCTTTCTGATCCTCCTGTAAATAGACATGTAAAATAACCCTTGTGTTATTAATATATTTGCCAGAATGACATCCAGATCTTTCTGATCCTCCTGTAAATAGACATGTAAAGTGACCCTTGTGTTATTAATATATTTGCCAGAATGACATCCAGATCTTTCTGATCCTCCTGTAAATAGACATGTAAAATAACCCTTGTGAAATTAATATATTTGCCAGAATGACATCCAGATCTTTCTGATCCTCCTGTAAATACACATGTAAAATAACCCTTGTGTTATTAATATATTTGCCAGAATGACATCCAGATCTTTCTGATCCTCCTGTAAATACACATGTAAAATAACCCTTGTGTTATTAATATATTTGCCAGAATGACATCCAGATCTTTCTGATCCTCCTGTAAATACACATGTAAAATAACCCTTGTGTAATTAATATATTTGCCAGAATGACATCCAGATCTTTCTGATCCTCCTGTAAATAGACATGTAAAATAACCCTTGGGAAATTAATATATTTGCCAGAATGACATCCAGATCTTTCTGATCCTCCTGTAAATAGACATGTAAAATAACCCTTGTGTTATTAATATATTTGCCAGAATGACATCCAGATCTTTCTGATCCTCCTGTAAATAGACATGTAAAGTGACCCTTGTGTTATTAATATATTTGCCAGAATGACATCCAGATCTTTCTGATCCTCCTGTAAATAGACATGTAAAGTAACCCTTGTGAAATTAATATATTTGCCAGAATGACATCCAGATCTTTCTGATCCTCCTGTAAATAGACATGTAAAATAACCCTTGTGAAATTAATATATTTGCCAGAATGACATCCAGATCTTTCTGATCCTCCTGTAAATACACATGTAAAATAACCCTTGTGTTATTAATATATTTGCCAGAATGACATCCAGATCTTTCTGATCCTCCTGTAAATACACATGTAAAATAACCCTTGTGTTATTAATATATTTGCCAGAATGACATCCAGATCTTTCTGATCCTCCTGTAAATACACATGTAAAATAACCCTTGTGTAATTAATATATTTGCCAGAATGACATCCAGATCTTTCTGATCCTCCTGTAAATAGACATGTAAAATAACCCTTGGGAAATTAATATATTTGCCAGAATGACATCCAGATCTTTCTGATCCTCCTGTAAATAGACATGTAAAATAACCCTTGTGAAATTAATATATTTGCCAGAATAACATCCAGATCTTTCTGATCCTCCTGTAAATAGACATGTAAAATAAGCCTTGTGTAATTAATATATTTGCCAGAATGACATCCAGATCTTTCTGATCCTCCTGTAAATAGACATGTAAAATAAGCCTTGTGTAATTAATATATTTGCCAGAATGACATCCAGATCTTTCTGATCCTCCTGTAAATAGACATGTAAAATAACCCTTGGGAAATTAATATATTTGCCAGAATGACATCCAGATCTTTCTTTGTAAATGACATGTAAAATAACCCTCATAAAATTAATCTATTTACAAGAACAAGTTATAAATTACTTCAAATCAGTTTTCATGATTTAAAAGCAATGTTAAATTACTTGTTTTTAAGAGAACTTATGTGATAGTGTACAATTATGGTGGGAGGAAAATTCCTGTGGGTCATATAACATGTTCATGTGCTACACACGGTTCCTTTAACAACTTGTAGGTAACCCTATACCCTCCCTAATAAGATTCAGCTAACATTAATAAACACGATCTCTTGATTAGTTATCAGACAAATGAGCCATCTCTAGATGAGTAATCAGAAAAATTAGCCTCCTCTAGATGAGTTATCAGAAAAATGAGCCATCTCTAGATGCGTTATCAGAAAAATGAGCCATCTCTAGATGCGTTATCAGAAAAATGAGCCAAGACTTACCTCTGAAGGTTTAATGACTGTTTTCTCATCAACAAACTTGCCCCAAGGTCCCAAATAGCCATCTATGTCTCCAGCATCAGTGTTTTTTAATCTTTTTCTCTTGTCTCCAGGCCTCACATCTATACTCTCAAACACTGTCTTGCCTGTAAAGTACAGCAAAATGATTAAAGAAAAAGTTTGGTCAAATCATTTATTACATTAAAAGCTCTTTCAACTCGTGTAGAGGTGAACTGGGCTACATGGTTTTCACACTTTATAATCAGACTATCCATCTATGTAAAACCAAAAAGCTGGTCATTGATAACAGCTCTCGATAGAATGTTAAAGCAAAGCTCTTTGCACATAGCATCTCTGTTCAGAATCTTAAAGTTATAGCTCAGTAAGGTATTTCATGCAGTTTCTGCAATTCTTCAGTGCAGTGCATTTAATGTACAAAGAAGAAAATTGCTCCAAATTAAAGTCATATAACCCCTCAGGTTTTAGACTCAAAATATTATTCACACATTAAGATTTTATTTCATGAAAGTCATGGAATATATTCATATACCAAGAAAACAGCCTGAGGGAGTTGTGTTTTCTTTTGACAAATATCTTAAATCATAACACTTATATCTTTACTTCCTGTCATCCTTCAAAGTCTATCATATTTTGTGATTCATGACATTTCATCATTGGACTCTTTGGGTTAATACACATTTTTTAAAGGAAGGGCAACCTACCTTTCCCTTCCTTCTCCTTTTCTACATCTCCAATGACTGTCTCTGGCTCCCCTGACTCCACGCTGGGGTCTACAGCATAACCTACAAATAAAATAAACTCTACATATAATGTCCAGTCATAGAGCTGCTCTACAATGATCATCTCATGCTTAAAGGCCCCATATAAAGTTTAAACCACTTTGGCTTATATTGTAGTCTTACCCAATGTTATCAAAGTGTGATATGTGAAACTTTTTTTTTAAATTTCAAAAAGTGGTTTTTGATAGACTTTTTGTTCCAAAATTTGTGAATTTATTTAAAACCAACTTTAAGAGGTCACTCATATCTTCTAATTAGCCACAATTCATACCAATGCATAGCATTCATCCTCCCGTGTTTTTTGCCGAAAAAATTAAGAAAATCAGTTCATAAATAAGCGAGAAATGAACTTATCAGTGCATGAAAATGGTTCTGAGAAAAATGCATTTCAAAATTTTAGTTCTCATAGAAACCAATGGTACAATGATATCTAAAACATAATTTATTCTTCCTTTTAACCTGGTTAGACAATCAACATTGGTTTTTTATGAGAGTCTAACATATTTAGAAAAGATTGACATTGAAAAAAAATTTCAATTTTTTTCAAAAAGTTTTTGGTACCTTAGTGACATCACTCATGTTTCAAAATATTTTTGATATGCTAAAACATTGAAGTGGCCCATTAAATATGGCATTTTATTATTGAAATAGTGTGTCCTTTGTTCAACCTTTGCATTGGTGTTAAAAAGATAATCTTTTTTGAAATGCATTAAGAAATATTTGATGATTAAGAAATTTCAACTTTTTTTGAAAAATGGCGGGAAATTTGAATATTTGAGAAATGAAATGCTCACAACTTTTTTTGAAAAAAAACTTTTTTGTTCAAAAATCTCTAAAATCACTTTTTAAGTCCTGACAAATAGTAAATGAATGATAAAAAAATATTTTCAAACTTTAGACGGGGACTTTAAAGCATGGACTTTCCAGTCCAGAAAGCTCACTAAAGATTCAAATATCTGTATTCAAATCACAATGTACTCCTTATAATGTGACATACCATAACTTGTGAATGTTCTCCTTTGATTCTCAAACTGGAAAGCATTGAAGTGACTGTCTTCAACAAATCCTGTTAACATGTTTTTCCTCGCCTTCTGTTGCTCTGTCTTAAAGGGGTTGGTTGGGCCTACCTAAAATCACATAGAAACCTTTAGAGACATAGTTCAATGTGAATAGGACAACCACATTGTTGTATGGGGCAACCACATTGTCATATAATGAACGACGGCAATACTTGTTCCTTGTAAAAACCTGATGGAAATCAGAATGCGGTATCTTTACTAAAGCTCCTGAAAAATCATATATCTGATAAAAGATGAGATTTCATCCCAATGCTTTCATTATCCAACTAAAACAAAATTCAAAGGCAAAATTTCAAGAGCAAAATTCTGGATATTTACATAATTTATCTTTGGCATTAAAATAAAAAAAGCAAAAAACAATTATGATTCGGGATGGAGAAAAAACATTCAGGGGATCAGTGTTCAAAGTTCAGGAATGGTGAAGTGAGAATTGATTGTAATTCGAGGCTCAGTGTTCAAAATTCAGGTGAGAAGAATTTTGAGAATAATACATACCTCAGGTGCATAGAGCTGGTCAAAGGTTGGGTTGTATGCAAGCTCCTTTGTTGTAGAGTCTATATGGTTCACAAGATTTACATCATCCTATAAACACATAAGAATTATTAACTCAAATGACGTGCAACTAGATGATCTTGTATTACTTGAGTCTCTAGCCAAATTACTTGGCTAGACATCATGGCATGTGGAACACTGTAAAGTTTTCCTTTAGAAAAATATTTAATCTAAATAATATTCTAAAAAAATCATTGTAAGAATAGTCCATGAATTGAAACAATGTATTTTGTGTGATATTGCATGATTTCCACTAAAATTAGAGCAACAGCTCTGAGGAAAATGGTGGAAAATGTTGTTAATGTCTGACATTATAACTGGCTGTAAATTCAAAGTAAGCAATCCAAAGGATTTAAAATTATATATTGATCACTTCTTGTATGTTTTGATTTTGTGAGGTAATAAGACCAAAACTTCAAATATTCAAAAACTTCAAAAATTCAAATTGTGATGTGAAAAAATGGGGGCTGGTTTGATTTCAAATTTTGTGATCACGACATGACTCATGATATACAGCAGGATAAAACCTACAGGGATTTAGGTTAGCCTAAGACTGCAACACAGTGGAAGCCCTAGACAAATGTAAATCTTGTAGACATGCGGACTGTGGTCTAATCTTACAATTTATTGTAATCTGAAAGAGAAAATCAACTTTCAAAGAATTTTGAAATTCATAGGGATGTAGGCCAACTACATTACATACATGTATGAGTGAAAATGTGGTAGTAATGCATGTTGAATTACCCAGATGCGAGTAGGTAGTAGTAGGAACTCCAGGAAATTCTGATATTTCACACTTTCTCATTCTCAAAATTCATTTCGTTCTTTGCGTACCTTCACTACCTCTCTGATGTTGTTAAAATGGTTCTAAAATTCCCGGGGTAGTAACTGAGAAAGCTTCAGAAATTAGTACTTTCTTTATTACGAAATCAACAACGCCAAAACTTTGATATTCCATAAATCATAACGTTTACAAATTATTTTACCATCGAAATTGGTAATCAATGTTGTATTTGATGTGTTTTAGGTAAAAATCTCCAAGGAGCAACAAATTGTAAAATGTCAAGATCGATAATCAACATTACTACACAATTTCAAGATGGCGGTGTCAAAATTTTCTAAAATGCATCAAATAATATTATGTTAATTTCTGGCGAATTCACCAATATCATAACTTGTTATCTAACAACAAGATAAAGAAATAAGTAAGAAATTCAATTTTATCCATTAAAACATCACATCGACATGTGGTATTCGTTTATTAGAAAAATTAAGAATATGGGGATGACGTCATTTCAAAAAGAACTGCATAGCAACGGTGTTAATAAACAATTTCTGATCGGAAGTCCTTGCAAATTCCTAAGTATTCACTATTTTTAACAGTTTGTTACGAATTACTTTTCGGATATTATTTTTCTTATGAATGGATTCTTACTACATAGAAATAAACATTTTATAAAATATAACGAATAAAATCAGTCGCAAACACAAGAAATAGATTTTTTTGAAGGAGGTCAAAATATTAAGAAGGGTAAATTTCGCGGGAATTTAAAGATCTGCATGAGGTAAGGCACATAAATGTCTCACTTTATTACAGTAATTATATGTAATCGTTGCAGATAAGGCGAAATTGCATTTCCGACAGGTCTTCTTGACATTTTCGCTGACCTAATTTCAAGTGCGCATGCATGGCATTAATCGAGTGAGATGATCATGTGACGTAATTTGATGATCACGTGACGTAATCTTTTGCCATTACTAGTTGGTAAACTGCTATAGTGGATTCTTGATTCAATATGTTTGTTATCACGTCTTGTAACTGTTCTGGCTTCAAATCAAATCCAAACTTTGGTTTTATGTTATTCGAATAAAGATCATTGATTTCTTCTGTTGAATACATGATGGTCGAATCAACGATATAAACTCTGTATAGTTAAATAGATGGCAGCAATATTCAATGGCTATTCTCGTCAAATCTCGTGAGAATAGAAGCCGCAATAAAGATTTTGAGAACAGTTGCGACAAACGGCAATTTTGCTACAAAATTAGCACAATTCAACCTTCTACAACCACAAAAGTATGGTAAGTTTTTGTATAAATCATCAATGTATCCATTTTGTTTATATTTCTCTATAAATGACGCAGAGATTCTAAGCAGAAGATTAAAATAAAGTGAACCATCAAAAATAATCAAGAAAAACTTAGATTGGCATGAATTTACAAGGATAAACACTGCCTCTAATGCGACAATACAACAATCCAATGTATTAGAGTCGGTGTTCACCATCTACTTGAGACATTGTTATCGAGGTACTGATTCTACTACATACGATCATGCCAGCATCTATGTTTTGTAGACCTACTCCTAGACTAAAGACACAAGAAGCTGTATCACTAAAGGACCAAAAAGGACTTGATACAACTAACTGTGACTCAAGAGAAGAAATATTATTGAGAATAGATCTAAATTTAAAAATTGAATATTTTTTTGAAAAAAAAAATAAAAAATTACCTTTGTGGCAACCACAGGGGCGATACAGAGGGCTTGTGAAGGATTTGATGGGACCAAATTGTCCTTCCGCCCAATAGGTTTCAAATGTGCCGTAAAATCTTCCTTCTGTTGCCCTGTATCATCGTCAGAATCACTTGAATCGACGTAATTTTGTAGTGCTTCCATGTTCTATTCTTATCTAGGTCACGAGCCACCACAAAGTCACGTGATTGTTAAAATGGCGGATGATACATTTGGAATTCCTATTATTGATTTCGGTATTTATGGCCTTCAAAACGATGAAAGTGGACCTTTGAATGATGGTCAAATGCACGATTTAACTTCAGCTGTATATAGAGCATGTACCGAGGTGGGATTCTTGTACCTAAAAAATCATGGTATTGATTTACAACAGGTAAAGTGTTTACTTCCGGGTATATGACCATCGAGAGCTACATGTATATCTCATAACGGCCAGTATCCAAGCTTAGTGCAACACTCCACAGTGCTCGGGAGAGACTTATCTAGCTTAGTGTTACAATATGAGTATGGGCTGTTCCATGGCTGTTCAAAGAAATTTTGTGATAAACAATGAAAACAAATGAAAGTAGTCTGTGCCAAACCGTGTTGCCCTTGCTTTACTCTCTCCAGTGCAGAAAGAGGGAACGGTGCCTTATTTGCGCTAAACCCGCATCGCTACTCGTTATGCGGAATATTGTTTTACTTTGCATTTGTATATTACTGGCCCTAGCGATGTCAGTCTGAATAGCAAGCCGAATTAGGTTACATTGGATCTGGATGTGAATTCAATTGCGGTTCAATTGTGTGTATGTACATGTATGGTGGGACTTTTGGAACCTGGGCAGTAGCCATTACAGATTACATTTGTAAGTTTAATATTTATGATAAATGTATATATATATTGTTTATTTTGTATGTTGCACTAGGTAGAAAAAGTGCGAAGTGTATCGAAAGCATTCTTCCTACTCCCAGAGGAAACTAAGAAACGTTACGCTCGAGTAGACGGCAATAACTTTGGTTATATTGCCAAAGAAGTTGAAAGGTAAATTGCTTCCAATTCATAATGAAACGATTTACAATATGTTCTCCCTGTCTTCGTATGAGTATTGTCGTATAGCCCCAGGAGACTCCCAGGGGAATAGCCTCAGCCCTGAACAACTATATCTATTGTATCTTATTTCAGACTTAATCCGGAAAGAGAGGCTGGTGATCTGAAGGAAGCATTCAATATATCTCCCAACATTGCTAAGGTGAATGACTAACGTCATATGATTCAATAGTATTTATTCGTAATGTTGGTTATTAGTACTGTATATTGGTTTTGCATTAGCTTAATTAAGATGAATGAAATGATAGTCTCGGAATGGGGGTTAATTACGGCCAGGAGATCGATTTGTCCCCCCTTTGTCAGATGTGGCGGAGCATGGTATTTTTCATAAAAACACTAAGAAAACTTCACAATTTATTTTTTAAGTTATATGTTTCGTTATACCAAAGAAAATGACTTACTCCATGCAATGGATATACAATGTATTAGTTGCGGGTTTGAAGTCCAATAACATGAATAACGCGAGGAGTAAAAGCTATTGAATACGGCGTCAGAGTGTCATACTCTAAAATTTACCCGATTTCTTTTTTCATTTTTAATGGCACGATATAGTGACACGAAAATATTCACACATGTTTTCAGCACAACTCTGAAGGTATTAATGAGATATGGATATGTTGGATGGAGTAAGTAATTTTCTTTGATATAACAAAACATACATACACTCCCCTCAATAAGTTTGGCAACCCTTGCTCCCCCATTGAACTACGTGTTAAAGCCTCTTTACCTTTGAATTTTTGCCAAACTTATGGAGGGGAGTGTATGTATGAGTTGTGAAATAAATTGTGAAGTTTTCTTAGTGTTTTTATGAAAAATACCATGCTCCGTCAAAGCGGACAAATCTGTCGATCCCTGTCCGTGTTAAGCCCGGTATACAACAATGGGGCAAGTTGGGACCTCCATAGACTTAATTAACATTGCGTGGGACCTCGTGGTACCTTTTGGGATTTTGCCCCATGAAGTCCGTGGGACTCCATGGGACTCCGTGGGATTTTGCCCCATCGAGTCCCACGAGGTCCCGTGAGGTCCCATGAAGTCCCACGTGGGACTCGGTTGGACTCGATGGGGCAAAATCCCACGGAGTCCCATGGAGTCCCACCGAGAATGACCATGTTCATTCTTTCCATGGGGCATCGTGGGATTTTCGATCATATGACGTGTTGTGTGAAGCCCGACATACACCAATGGGACACGGTGGGATTTGATGGGACTCCATGGGGCTTGATGGGACTCCATGGGTCACGATGGGGCAAAGTCATCAAGGTCCCATGGGACTTCGTGGGATTCGATGGGGCAAATTGGGATTCGATGGAGCAAGATGGGACTCGATGGGGCAAGTGGGATTTTGCCCCATTGGTGTATACCGGGCTTTATTCATTACTAAGAAAGTATTATACAACTACTTATCACATACAACTAGATGTTTAGCTGAATGTACCATTTTACTTTAAATGTTAGGTTTGAATAACAAAACTGCTTGAAAAAATTGAAACAATTTACAGTGTATACAGGACTTAAGAGACATGATATTACTTTCATAATGCATCTATGCGATGCCCTGTGTCCTGTTTTTAAGAAATGGCCCGAAGAAGAGATCCCTGGATTCAAAGATGAGGCAATGACGTTATTCAACCAGTGCAACAAGTTATCAATGAGGATATTGGAAGTTATGGCCATTGGATTAAAATTGGTAAGGCGTGTTTTATATGTCTCTGGTAAAATAGCTCGTCATAAATGTTGCTTTTTCTGTCGGACTAGTTCATATACATATGGTTAGCACGGTTATTTAACTTAAATTTGATTAATCGAAATTTAAACTTTCATTTGTAAGTAAAATGAGTTAACGTTGAACTGAAATTTCTTAGTTACCCTGCGCTCATGGTTTACTTATAAGCTTCTGAAGACGAAGCTTTCTTTTTTTGAAGTGAAGTAGAACGAATGCGAAAGGTTTCTCTTAGTAAACTCAATTTTTCTGGACATTCTCTTTGTGAACGGAATTTGGATATTGGTGTTAAGTAAATTATGGTCCCCTTCCATATACCAAATGCCATAACTCTGATTTAGTATGAATTATCAAGAGTCTGGCAATTGAGAGGGACCAGCACTGGCTAGCACAGCAGAGATTTTTCCGTTGTTCTATTTAATCTAATGACTTCTAGTGTGAAATATCTGTACATTAGGATCGAGATGCATTCACAAAATACCACACTCCAAATAACATATGTGGCACTACGATGAGATCTCTTTACTACAATCCTCTCCCAGAGGACTTCATCCCCAAAGCGGACCAGGTGAGATGCGGAGAGCACTCGGACTATGGCTCAATTACGTTGCTGTTCCAGGACGACGTCGGAGGACTCGAGGTAGATATTTATATGTGATTCATCCTGTAATATTACTGCATTGTAAACATGAATCCTATAAATTGGAAATAACATTGACTTGTATTATCAAATTTTGTTAAATTTTTGGACTTTTTAATAAAAACGTTTAGAAAACGTTGTCATCATGATACACAGTATGAATCGATACACCACTCTTGTTCTTTGAACTATACATATTTCGTCAAATATCATGAATGGAATGTCGCAATTAACGGTGTCGTTGATTATTCAGGTTGTAGATCGTTCTGGGCAATATATGGCAGCGACACCTATCGACGGTACAATAGTTGTAAACATAGGAGATCTCATGCAGCGTTGGACTTCTGATACTTTTATCTCAACTGTAAGTTTTTTCAAATAAAAACAAATATAATTTTTTAGGTATTGTCGGCCTTATCCTTATGGGTATAAACAAACTCATTCTTCTTTTAACTTTCAGAAACATCGAGTGCTAATACCCAAAGAAGAGCTTCACAAAAAGGAAAAGATGGCGCGTCAATCAATAGCTTTTTTCGTGCACCCCGATGATGACGCCATGATCACGTGTATAGATGGCTCTGAGAAGTATGAACCAATCACCGCAGGAGATTATTTACAAATGCGATTCAGAGATAGCTATGGTGATAAAAATAAACAATCAAGGGAAACGTGGAAATAAAACAAACGTTTGTATGTTGACAGTTATTACACGAGCAATATTTTCAGGCATGTACAGTACAGTACTTTCCTAGATAATATGATCAGTAAAATCAATTGCAGATCATAATCATTTTTTGAAGTTCCTTTTACGTAACCAAAGTATATGTTATACTTGATATACGTTTGTGATAAAAATGTCTACAACACGTGAAAAGGGAAAAAACTAAAAATCGTACCTTCGAAGTTCCAACATTTTGTTACCGTTACCAGCGTAATCGAGTGGATCACCAGTGAACCTGAAATTCCTGGAACAAATGAATGGGACAACATGGAAGCAAATGCAAATTCATACAATTTAAAGAAATTGAGAAAAATAGACCCTTAGGGTGCAATGTCTGAACAGCGGAAAATTTCCCCAAACAAAAGTACTCAAATAGCATCCGGCAGATTTGAATTCAGCACATCTCAACTATACTGAAAAGTTACAAAAACTGCAAGATTCCAAAATTGCCATAAGTTAAAATAGTGCAGGACTAAATCTTCATGTTTTGATAAGGTATACTCAAAGACTTGAAACGTTAATTTTTTTTCTTTGTTTACCAAAACGTTGTTGTCTTCCACACTGGTGTCCCCCCGCCCTTGGGTCGGCCCAGAAAAATTGGCCCCAAAAACAATTAGTGGGCCTTTTTGTCAAATAATAAATGATAAATTCTGGTACATGGTACTTCAATTACAAATTCCGAGTCTAACAAATGTTAATATAGTTTCTCTCCCTGGATCGTATCAATTATGCCGGCTTGATACCTGTGTCCAGGTATGTGATATGATTCAGCTCAACGAAACCCACCCTGAAGTTCACAATGCTTCTCCTCTATGTCGATAGACGGTCAAGCCAAGTAACTTAGTCAACATTCGATATTCGTATGTTCATCAATATTGACTAAGAATGGTGCCACAATTGAAGTAAACCTCTGTTTAATTATTTTCAATAAACCTATCAGCAAACGTGTAAATGACAAATTTGATGTTCTGTTACATATTGGTGAAGCAATCTTGGGGATATGGCCTAAATTTCTGAATTTCCACTATGTCACTGTATACCCCTACTTCAAAAGATGTATGTTATTGGTCATTTTTCATTATGAATCAACCATTATGTATTTTTTCTTGTTTACATACAGAATGAACTTTCTGTTTTCAAATATTGAAAGATGGTACTGCATCTATTTTTTCATGATATAGAGCAAACAAATGCGTGTCAATTTACACTGTAATATCCCACATACTTATATTTTAAAAGTAGTTTTGAGGAATAATCAAGAAAATCCATGTTTTCAAATGAATTCATCCTTGTCAAAGAACGTAAATGAGGATGTGCGGTTTGAAAAACTAACAACATGTTTTAAGTTCTTACAACTCTTGGTTAAAACAAATATTTCGAAAGTTGTGATTTCGAATGTAATATCCAACTCAATGAAATTTGTTGATATTTGTGAATTTTTTCTTTCGGAATGCACATTGCTGGATCACAGAACATTGCCTCTTTCGAGATGCACGAAAAGTGTATTGCTAATACTTGACGTCGTTCGGATATTTGGATGTGATTGACGTTTTTGTTAATCTCCAACCACTGTAACTTCCAACTTAATTTTTGAAAGCCAAATATGATAGTCACGAATTGATATTTAAGTCACACGTTGATGCATACATCATGTGTCTACATTAACTGTCAAATGCATGCCGACTTACATTTATATAAATATCCACAGTTAACTCAAATCATCAATTCTCGAAACGGTTTATCAAATAACCTGGTGAGTTTAATGTTTCATTTTAATTCATAATTATGTTATCGGATTTGAGTATGATATTAGTCGAGGCTTAAACAAAGCAATAAAATTGCGTGAAACCTTTTGTGAAAATTTGAACAATTTTTCAAGAATTCTCCTTCAAAGTGTTACCACAGTGCTCCCCGGGAGTAGAAATTTCGTCTTGTGTAATCAAAATAATAGCGGGTGGTTTGAATTTTTGTTTGAGTTTATAGCCCAGCATCTATAAATTTAAAAACGTGTCGCCTCATTGAGAGGTACATGCAGATTTTGGCGATCTATCATTCTAAAAGGCTAAATTTTGTGCAAAAACAGGAGTTGACACGCTTACATTTGGAATTGAAATTTCCTACATAATTGTCGACTATTTGTTTAAAAGTCATGAAAACAAGGTTGAACACAAAACAATGACCTAATTACTGTCTATATAGCATGGGATCACTTAGGGAAATATTATTCATGACTTAAATCGTTAACAGTTAAGTTGTATCCCAAGAAACTTATCAATTTAGAAATGCAAATTGTTTTTCAATTATAAAAATGGCACCTGTAGAGAACAACGTTTACAAAATTATTTTAAACGGAGATATTTACTTATGTAACATTCGTTAGCATGTGTCAGCGAGTAAACAAGAAGAATATGCATATGATTCTATATCTTGTTCCCAAAGGAGTTTGTTAAGGAGCGGTATATCTTAACGTACTTTTATCATCCCGAACTCAAATATTTCGAATACTTATTTCGAGAACGCTTTGTTGAGAATGGATTCGAGATGTACTCAAAATTAATACGTTAAAATGTGTATTATCGTCTTAATAACCACCTCACAAAATATTTTGGAAATCAAAGATGTACGATTTTTGAGATTTTTATTTTCGAATGTTGACTTACTTACTTGGCTTCACTGTAGAGTCGGATAGACCAAGCCCATGAACAAATTAATGGTGTGATCAAAAGTGAGGGAGGAGTTTTGGGGTTATTTGACAATCCGATGGCATTATAGAAATGAATGGTTGATGGTCCAGAGTTGGCAAGAATGTTAACTAAGTTTGAGGATGAGATGAAGGATAATGATGGCGAAGTCCCTGCAAACCATGTCAGTAAAGAGACGACAACTTTGATGAATTTTTCCAACATAATTCGGCTCCATCGCTTTCACAAGATGGCGTAATCAAGGCTGGACTCAAAGCAGATTCTTAAAACCAATAGAAGACCGTATTCCAAATGGAGAGATCACTGTACCAGATGTTGATTGAATCCATGTTTCTTGATGGTGCAGTAATAGTCCACCTGCTGAAAACATAAGAAGCAGCAAGAACCTTTCCACAGTACTCGAATGACATAATAAGTACATTGGAGATCAACTAATTAATAGAGTACGAGGATTTGATATTAGGGATCGATATGAATATATACCAAATAGTCTCAAATGTTCAACTAGAGAAAAACGGGGATTTTGAAAACCTCATTGAAAGGTACATGCAGTTTTTAGCAATATTTCATGATAAAAGGCAAAATATTGTGAAAAACACTGGTTGACACGCTGACATTTGGAGACTCATGTTTAAAAGAAAACGAGATTGAACATAAAACATTGACCCGGCCAGTCACTAATTTATCATGAAATCACTAAGGAAAACATTATTAATGACTTAAATCGTTAACATTATGTTGTATTCCAAGAAATTTTTAAATGCAAAATGTTTTTTGTTTAATTATAAAAATGGCACATGTAAATAACTGTGATATAAAATTAAATTATGTAAGTCGTTGTGAAAATTAAATCACAATGTGTTTATGCAATCAAATAGGCTTATGAATAGTAAGGCAAATTAACAGAGGTAAAAACAGATACAAAGTGCACATAAGTCAGTTGAGAAAAATTACGCTGAGAGTAAACAGGCAATCATATGCAGAGATGAGATGAGTTTGGAAGAAATGAGATAACTAGATATGAGATAATTAGAAATGAGAAACAATAACAACGTTTACAAAATTGTTTATGACAGATATATTTATTTATGTTACATTCGTTGGCACGTGTCAGCGAGTAAATAAGAAGAATATGCTTTTGATTCTATTTCATGTTCTTAAAGGAATTTGTTAAAGTGTGCGCCAAAGTTTAAAACTGCGCAGGCGCACCGCTCTCGCTAAACTATATAAAGAGATTGCCCGGTACACGATTCAGAGGTAAGCCGTGATGATTTCCCATATAATCTTAACCAGGGAAGTTTCAACATTGAAATTGAAAATCACTATTAGATATACTTTGTAGATGTTATTTATGAAGCTATTTAGTGTTTGCATCAATCAAATGGCTCATTTTGAACATATAAAACGTATTTGTGTTTTGTTTCCCAGGGAATTGTATTGTATGTAGTACACACATAAATAGTGTACATTATACTTGAATAGCCTGGTTTACATAATATTGAAGGGCATGCTAATTACATGCACACGAGTACATGAATG